ACTATTCAACACGATTACAGAAATATTTACATTTGCTTATGACATTCGATAACAACATTGGCGGAGAGCAGCCATTTTGCATGTAAAGCGCCACGGGTCGATTAACTAAATCTCTGTACACTTATACTCTAGCGTCATCCTCAGGATTTTTTAGAAACTGCGTTAGAAATTTGAAAAAGAGACAAATTGAAAAATTTGAAATCCCGCGGGATTCCGTTCCTTGTTTATAAGTTTTGTTAGATTCAATAAATAGTGCGGGATCCCGCACTGAGGGATTGCGAGCTCTAGTCCCGAAGCTATTTTCCGAATTAATTAACTTTAAACTTTTTACTATTTTTATCCGGTTAATACATGTGATTTTTTTAAAACTGAAGTTAGCTCTTCTTGCTTAATTGTTTTGAACTAACTTCAGTTTTAAAAAAATCACACACTGAAAAAAAGTGCTGTTGAATCAAATATCTCCATGCTATTGAATTCCCCGTCATTGATTCAATGACACATTTATTAATCGAAAAGTATATTGCTTAAAACGAAAAAATGAAACTGTTTAAATTAAAAGTACGGTACTGTAGAATTAATGATATTGTGCAAATTGTTTCTATAGTTCATCTATATATAGCAACAGAATAATTTATTGCTTCTTTGACGTTATTCATTTGAAGCATCTAATAGATAAATTTGAAGAAAATGCATGTAAATTTAAATCAAATGAAAAATTGTTTGCTCTAAAGAAGCGCGCTCTGAAAACTAAAGCATATGCTTTCGTTTCAATGAGTGGTGCTATTGCGGACTGCCTATAGCATATGCTATAAAAATAAGAACACTATGTTTTGAGACATTGACAGGTACTAAATTTATTGAAATACTTACCCACATATATTTATATGTTTATTAAACCTGTCATTTTTGAGATTCTAATATAAAAAAGTATTATTTAAATTCTTTTAATTAATTAATGACTAGTTAAATATAAATTCACTATATAAATTCCCTTATATACGCGAAAAATCTCGAGCACGGTATTTAACCACAAAGTAAGTGCCCAACGTTGAGAAGCGGATGTATTACATTGCAGCGCGGCGGTTCTCGTCTATCACGGAAGTTAAGCGTCGTTGGTCGCGGTTACTAAATGGATGGGTGACCGCTTGGGAATAGCCGTATTTTTCTGACTAAAAAAGACAAGTGTGTTTGAATGTGTATGTGTGTGTGTGTGTTTAGCCGTTGGGAAAAATGAAAATAATAATAAAGATGTATATGTTAGTGTGAAAAATTGAAAAAAAGATGTGTATAAAAAGTGTTGTGTTAAAGGTGTGAGAATTAATTATAGTATATAAAAAACATGTGAACAAAAATTCCCTTTTTTCAATTTATCGTTGGTATATATTTAATCACATAAAAGAATTGAATTAACAGTATGGTGTTATTCAATCGATAGCAACAACTAAAAAATTAAAAGTACAAATTTTTGAATCATAAAAATGATGCTTTTAAATTTAAAAGTTATAGTCATTGACTCAAAAGCATATACTGTTAAATTAAAAAATTTTGTTCATTGATTCAAAAGGAATACCTTCGAATTAACATAGTATGCTGTCAATTTGAGAAATATGCTTTTGTTTCAAAGAAAGTGATACTATCGAATCATTAGAATCGGTGCTTTCAAAACAACAGCATATACGTTAGGCAGCCCGTTATGACACTATTCAATGAATCAAACCCATATGTCATTGATTCAACAGCATTTTTTTCTCCGTGCATGTATTAACCTGATAAAAATAGTAAAAAGTTTAAAGTTAATTAATTAGGAAAATAGCTTCGGGACCAAATAAAATCTTTTTCCAGTGAGTGTATCTAGTGATCAATTAATTATTGACCAGTTTTCGTAATTTTTCATTTTTCTGGGCAGAAGTTATTTACATTTTAAAATCGTGAAAATAAGCAAAGTGACAATTTTAATTGCTTATTTTTTCACATTTGTGAAGAAAAAAGGAAGAAAGTGATAAGGAAAACTAAAAGTTAATCACAAGTACTTTATATTTCATAAGGTTTTATTCAATTTAATGATTTCTTTTTCTCACATTTAGTGAATGCAATTTGCAAATTTAGGTTATTTGGCAGGTGAACTTTAAAATCATTTTTTATTTAATATTTCTTATTAATAATTGTTTTTATCAATTTATAATAATAAAACAATTCATTCTTAATGAATTATTATAATTTTTTTACGTTTTTATAGTAAATTATGTGTTTTCTTTAATATTTTCTAATAGATGAAAAAATTACAGTTTTTACGACTTCATATACATATATATATATATATATATATATATATATTTTATTTTACAATAAATATCAAAAATATTTAAAAAATTCTTTTTGTTCGGTGATCCTAATATCTTTAACATCATTCCTGCCAAATATTACAATTTTTTAAAATTAGTCAGCAACGATTTTAGTCGAAAAAGAAATTTTTTTTTAAAAGTTCATGAAAAAACAAACAATTTTCATATAAGAAAGTTTAAAATTGATCCACATTTATAGAAGTTATGAGCATTCAAACAAATTTTTTGTTCAAAACGTAAAATTTTGAAAAATTCGTATCTTGTAAACAGCTGGCTAAAAAAATTTGAAAAAAATCATGAAGCTCTTTTTCAACTAGTACTAAAAGGTAAAAAATGTTTGATTCAAATAAAAAATGTATCAAGTGAAAAAATTCACAAAGTAGCCGGTGTTAGCAAAATTGGTCAAATTGACCCCCCTCTACCCCCTCCAAATTTTCGAAAAAATCAAAAATATTTTTTGGGGCACATTTCTACTTGATAGAACAACAAATTCCCTGAGTTTCAATTTTTTCAAGAAGTTGAAATTTCAATTTAGGACATTTCATGTAAAATGCCTCATATATACATATGTCGTAGGCAACTAGAATAATCCGGCATTAAGCTTAATTCCTAGGCAATAAGCTTACTGCCGGCAATTAGACGAATACACGACAAAATCGTTCAGATTTGTCTATTTGCCTAGGCAGTAAGCTTATTGCCCGATGAAGATTCGGCAATTAGACGAATCACATTAGAATCCATTTGCAGTGCACAAACGTCCTATAAAAAATTAATTAAAAACTATAATAGTGATAATAATAATAATGATAATAATATTCCTTAACTCATATAAATAATTCTCGACTAAAATAAATATTGCTTGAGTCAAATAAACATTTCTTAACTGAAATAAATCATTCTGGACAGAATTAAATATTTCTTGGGTAAAAAAAATATTTCTTGAGTCTAATAAACATTTCTTGGATCAATTAAATAATTCTGGACAGAATTAAATATTTTTTGAGTAAAAAAAATATTTCCTGAGTCAAATAAATAATTTATATTTTCCTAAGAAATATTTTTTTTCATCCAAGAATTATTTCTTTTTGAGTCAAAAAATATTTATTAGACTCAAGAAATATTTCTCAATGATAACAAATATTTATAAGAGTCAAGAAGCATTTATTTGAGTCAAGAAATATTTATTTAAATCAAACAATCTCTATTTGACTCAATAAATATTTATTTCACTAAAGGAATATTTTAGTCAAGAATTGTTTGATAGACTTAAACAAAATTTATTTTAGTCGAGAAATATTTTTCTTTATGCAAAAGTAAAAAAATTATTTATTTGACTCAGGAGATATTTTTTTTACTCAAGAAATATTTAATTCTGTCCAGAATTATTTAATTGATCCAAGAAATGTTTATTAGACTCAAGAAATATTTTTTTACCCAAGAAATATTTAATTCTGTCCAGAATGATTTATTATTATTATTATTGTTTTGAATTAATTTTTTATAGGACGTTTGTGCACTGCAAATGGATTTTAATGTGATGTCTAATTGCCGAATCTTCATCGGGCAATAAGCTTACTGCCGGGCATTAAGCTTACTGTCTAGGCAAATAGACAAATCTGAACGATTTCGTCGTGTATTCGTATAATTGCCGGCAGTAAGCTTATTGCCTAGGAATTAAGCTTAATGCCGAATTCTTCTAGTTGCCTACGACATACATAATATATAAATTTCGAATTTTGAAAATCTGACTACATATTCGTAATCAGCGACCCCAAAAACCTCCGAGTAACAAATTCCAAGTGAATTTAACCAATTTAAAAACAATAAGTCCGCTATATTGGATCCGCCATTTTGAATTTTGAAAATCTGACTTCATATTCGTAATCAGCGCTCCCAAAACCTCTAAGTAACAAGTTAGTCATTAGTGAGTTGAGTAGACGAGGGGTTCCGGGAGGCAAAGGGAATCTGTGACGTCAAATACAGTGCCGTCGGTCATTTAATTGTTATGTGCCATTTAGTGGTGCCCAGTATTTAGTAGTGGGGGACCCTTACTTTCTTGACACGGACCTGAAATATTACGTTTATGCACTCTTCGAACAGTGCACAATATTCCCGACGACTGCACTATTAAAAGAGTCTACTGTATTCATCTTAAGGTCGTGTTATTCAGTGGCCACGTGCCCCATATATTTTACTATGGAAATACGCCACACTGAACACTGAATACATGTATTCCACATGTCCTTAAGCTACATTTTAATGTTAAAATAAAGAAAAGAAGAGTTTTTTGTGGTATAAGCCTTTTCGAATTTTTTTTCAAGGAAATTGATGTTCATCTGTCAAGCCTTTATTTGAACTTAACGATGTTGCAGCAAGAAAAGCCTTTAAAATTCTCTTATTTTGCATTCTATAATTATTAAGCAATCTTTAATTTCTTGGGCGTAAATTAAAGTAAAAATATTCAAGATTCCGGCTGATTCTTCTCCAGTTCCGATTAATATTTTACTTGTAATAAAAATTTGTTTCAAGTAAACAGTGTAAACCTTAAATTAAATTTACTTGACTTTACAAGTTCGCTAAACAAATTTCATTTTAAAGTTAAGTTTTAAAAATATGTTTTTTTGAATTAAATTAAAAACTGATACTTTTCTTTTTCAGAGTAACATCGTGAAACATCAACGTTTTTGTATGAAATATATGCGTTTGAGAAGCGTTACATTAAAATCGACTAAAAATGTCCGATGCCGAAAAACACAAACATCAACAAGGACCATCAGTTTCTTAGTTGTACACATTTTTTGTCCTTTCGAAAATTTTTTGTAGTGGAGGAAGAATGTAACTATTATAATTATAATTATTATTATTATTATATCGCGTCTTGATATAGTACTGCTCTCCGGTCATTTTCTAAATTAGAAGCTGACCAGTTACGAGTGTGCGTTTAGGGACAATTGTAGTTTAATGAATAATTGAAATTGTGTATAATTGTCATGCGCGAGATAACAGCATCTCAATTTCTTAGAATAGGAAGAAAGTTATGTAATTAAAATATTTCTGTCCTATTTGCTGTGAGGCTCACACATGCGCTATATTATTTTATACTTATCATTATTTGAGAAAATATCCTTTTTATATACGGTTTATAATTCTATGAGATTCAATGATTCTATATTGCTTTTTAAGTTTTGATTTATCATTAATTATTATTGATGATCTTTCATTAAATAGTTATTGTGTAGTGTGAACCTCAAGGCACTTGCAATATTAAGCTATTTAAGAAATTGAAAATCTTTGTATGAATTAATCATTAATTAAGAACGTGTCAAAAGATTTATTCTCAAAATTTGCTTCAATCTATTGCGTACAGAATATGATTTTAGAAAACCTTTTTTTCTTTTAAAAAACAGTTCACGTATCTAATTTAATAACCGAGTTCAATTATTTTTTAAAAAATGTTTTAATTACTACAGTTTACCTATAATTGTGTTTTATCCAAGAAGGCTACACGGAGAGAAAAACAAGGCTTTTCCCCATGAAAAAATATGCATTTAACGCGTAAAAATTATCACAGTAAAAATGCAGGACGCTCACGGGTTTTCCCTGTGAGATTTTTGCAACGAGCTAAGGCCAATAAGGGCTAAGGCATGGCCTAACCGCTAAACGCAAGAAATTCATCGGGAAATCCGGTGAAACTGCTACCTGAAAAAGGCATGAATTGAAGTAACGGGGAAAAGCCTTGTTTTTTCTCTCCGTGTAGACACAGGAGGTGAAACTTCGGTAGTGGGGATGAGTCAAGACCCTTTCTTTAACCAGGTGTTTTTCGTTTCGAGAAGCCGTCGGCGCGGTGCTTCTGCACATCACTCACACATTCAAATTCTTCTATTGATTATTAAATTAAGTGTTATTCAAATAGTTGAAAATTCCGAAAATGTGCTGTGTGAAAAGATGTAACAAGAAGAAAGATAAACACAACACTATGACTATTACTTTTTGTTAACTTTTAATACACTTCATGCTACAGTTTACACATTTTTTTGTTTTTAAAACGTTTTTTTAATAACTAAAAGATGTTTGAAAATATAAACACTTATATTTCATATTATATTTTTATAGAATATATTTTCCCGTGTTTACGTGTGTTAGATGCGCACAAGTCCATGTGGTCTATTGCGGCGAAAACTTTTTTTGAAAGTAAACGCCTGACCATAAACCAGCTGAGCGACTCAGCATTGGCATACCCTCACTACCGAAGTTTAACCTCCTGTCTCTAGTCTTCTTGGTTTTATCTTATTGAATTTGAAACCTACAAATATTTTCAAAATTTATGATTAATTTTCTCATGAAAAAGAAATTGAAACGAAAGAAAAATCAATTTAAATTTGAAATATTAATTTTAAATAAAAGAAATTTAATTTTTGTAATTAAACATGTAAAGAATTAGAAATAACTCATGACACTGATTTCGTGAGAAATATTTTACATCTCTATAAACATAAATACCTTTGGAATGGTAATCTTTTGTATTTATAATTATTTTTTAAATAATAATTCTTCTTCACTTTTTTCATGACAGAATTGAAATATTTTTTATTATAAACTTTTTTTAATAAATTTTCTTTTTTAATTTATGAATGGGACATATAAAAACTAGTTTGCAATGGGTTTTTTATGACGTGCCCTTGATGTATGTGAAACTGCGATCTCTTGTAGAAGACAGTATACTTTCTTGTATTACAGTATGGTAATATAGTACACATTAATAAAATTAATAAAGCAAGTGAACAATTCAAGTCATGTACATGTGACTAGACAAATTTATCATCACCTACTAAGTATGCAGTTATTAAATGCATGAGTGTTACATTAAATTCTAAAAATAAAATTTTTCTTTCAAAGGGTCAATAAATAATTTTTGACTTTTGCAAATTAAACATATTCCTTTTGTATTTTACAGATTTTATTTTGTATATGCTTATTTAAAAGAAATATTCACCGTGACGGACTATATATTTTTTACATTCTCATCACATGAGAAAGTATTATTTAAATCAAGGAAAGAATCAATATTGATATGGGTATCCATTGATAACTAAGCAACCAAAGCAGTAAAAATTTGATATACATTTACAGTTTGTACAAGATACTAAAATTGAAATCAAAAATATTTTTCATACACTGAGAGACCTTTTGGACTGCAGCGGAACAACGTATGAGATAGCAGCTCCACTATGGTTTTAGTGCGCTGCGATACAATTTTGGGCGCGTGACAGTCCAAAATGTTGGTGAGAAGCTCACCGAAGTAGTGGGGATGCCGTCATTGGTTTGCAGCTAATCAACTTTTGGACTGTCGCGCGCCCAAAATTGTACCGCAGCAACCCAAAAGTATAGTCCTGTAGCGTACCACCAAAATGGTCAGTAGCAGCCTATCGAAAGTCTGCTGCTGACCCAAAGGTCTCTCAGTGTAATCGCTGATAGTTATGCCTCGCTTAGTGCTTTAAGTTGGTTAGAAAAACCATTTTTGATCAATAAAATATCCATTCATTATTCATAAATATAATTTGAAAACATAAATAAAGTATAAATATCTGCCATTTACTTGTTTGTTAAAAAATTGTTTTTTAAATTTAAGAGTATTTTCTGATTAAAAATTTTTAAAAATCAATTTTTTTGCTTAAACATGATCCTTAGTGTAATACAATTTTTATGACGGTTTTATATATTAAAAATATATAATATAATAATATTATTAACATACATATTAAACAAAATCTATAAATCCATATGTTTTTTTAATATTTTGTCCGCCATATAGGGTAAGTGATACAGCCGTCGGACACTTAACCCCTTGCGTGTGGATGACGTGTATACAGGTCATGAAAAAACGACCCAAAGTGTGTATGACGTGTATACACGTCATGCACAATTTAAGCAAACGAGTGAATGTATCTTTCCAGAATTTGGTAGTAAGGGGTTTTTTGGGTCGCTGAATACGAATCTGAAGTCAGATTTAAAAAAATGTTGAGTTTTTTATCCAATATGGCCGCCAAAAATTTTGAAAAATTTTAAGTGTCAATGGATTTAAACGAAATTTGAATTCCGAGAGTTTTTTTGTCACTGAATACAAAATTTTAAAGTATTTTACGCAATTTGGACGCCAAAAATTTAAAAAAAATTTTAAACCCGATGGATTTCAACTTTTACTAGACGGAATCCCACCCTAAGTTAGTCAGCCTATATTAATATTGTGTATTTTATTGTTTTATTATTAAAATCGTGCCAACAAGCTTTAAATAATTAATAATTTTTACTGTGAGAATCTTATGTAAAACAATAACTGAAACTGGAACTGTTTTCTGGCGCGCATGCATATCCTGCCATTATTGGCACAGCGCTTGGCAACCAACGTTGCGCCACTTCCGACAAGCGCCGCCAGAATGCATGCTAGTGATTTCTTCTCGCTTGTGACCTGTTACACTGACTCTATAAGTACCTGCTCCTCTCCCGCAAAGGCATTCACAGGCATCCCTCCACTGTGAGATATACGGTGAGGGAATTTTTATCAGTCTTTCACCTTTGTTTTACCAGAGGTGAAAAATTAAATTAATATGTTCTATTAATTAAAAAAATTATTTTAAAAAAATATATTTTTAAAAAATAAATTTTAATTAATAATTAAAAAAAAAATTTTCGAAACCTTGGTTTTTGTTGGCTGCCAATAAAAAATTAAGCTTTTGAAAATCGATTTTGTTTTCTTGGCAATTCCTTGGCAACTAATATTGGCCCGATGCTTGGCTATCGATCATTGGCGGTAGCGTGATCATCCCAAGTTAAAACCAATGGTGGTCCAATGATGGTTGCCATTATTGTTCCAATAATGGAACAAAGTTCGCCAAGCATGGCCTATTATTGAACCAATCGTTTACTTCCCATTGGGAATATATTTATCTAATGTTAAACTACACACTTTATTTGTTTAAACAATTTATTATTGTTAATTACCAATATGTATCTTTCTACGCTTATAGAAATGCAGTTTTTTTAAATTTTGCAATTTATCGACCTACTTATAAGAACAAACAAACATTAAACAAAAAATTATCGATTTTAGAATTGTTTAAACAAATAATTGTTACTACTTGCGAACTCCTGAAACAAAACACCTAGAAACTTGCAATGTTTTTCTAATTTTGCAGTTAACTAATTTAAATAGTATAACATGAAGAAATTTTATAAATTTAACAATTTAGCAATTGTTCAAATAAATAATTATTGTTTTTTACCAACACTTCGGACAAAGAACCTAGAAACTTGCAGTTTTTCCTAATTTTGCAAAGTATCAAGGTAAGTATTATTGCAAAATTAGAAGTAACTTACAAGGTTTTACGTGTATTGTTTGAAAAAAAGTAAATAATAATAATCATTTTCCTAAACATTTGCTGCATTTTTAAATTCATAAAATATCTTTATGTTATATTAATCAGCTTACAAGTAGTATATCTAGGCCGGTTCTGGGACCCTCAGTCGGTAATGCAGATTTCTACTTTATCATCAGTCAGTAAGATATGAATCTGACAGAAATTTTGACTCATCCGATAAGGTAGGCATCTGTTTTACCGACCGAGTTAGTTTTTAGGTTAGACCGCTAGATGGCGCCACTAGCAAATTCAAATCCGCTTGGCGGGAAATTTAAATTTTTATTTTCATAGTTTTAAGTGTGTTAAAAGAGGTGCTCTGCTTTACCGACAGGGTTTAAGATTAAACTAATAGATGGCGCCACTTTAATTTTTAAATTTCGCGGATGTTGCTTTCCACCATTTTGTTTTTCCGGCAGGGTTCAAGGTCAACCTAATAGATGGTGCCACAAAAATTAGTGATAAGATTTATAATTGGTATATATAATTTATAAGACTTTTTGAATTTCGCGGGCATTGCTCTCTACTTTATTTTTCTACGTAGTTTAAGGTCAACCTAATAGATGGGTCCACAAAAATTTAATTTTACAAGCGTTGCAAACTACTATCTTGATTTTTAAATTTCCCGGGCATTGCTTATAATTAAAATAAGTTTAGAGTTCTACAATTAAAACTGATGTAATGTTTACTAATGCAATTAAAATTTATTGAATAAACAATAAGCTGTTTGTATTCAAATTGAATTACACCAGATCGGTAATGCTGATTTCTACTTTATCAGCAGTAGTAAAGGTAGGAATCTGACAAATTTTTTGACTCAATCGATAAGGTAGGCATCTGCTTTACCGACTGAGTTGGTTTTAGGTTAGACCGCTAGATGGCATATATACATTTTTAACAACACAATTTCTAAAGCTACGTGTGTGATTTGTACATGTAGATGAACTATCTACATCTAAACTTTTTAGCGACGGACATTTAAAATCATCTAAATTAAACACATTTAATGTATATTTTTCTAACCATTTTTGTTTTTCTAAACCTTTTACATAAACAGTAGGTGTACCTATTAATACTTCTTTGATTATTGGTTGTAATTCTTCATAAGGAATGACACCAGCAGCCCAATCGATACCATGTGTAACGTGGCGTTACAAATTCTCCCGCGTCTGCTGCGAATCGGGCGATTGAACCCGGAAAAGGCCGAAGGGCCTCGAGGGTGTCAATCGCCAGATTCGCGGACAGACGCGAGACTTGTTGCGAATACTCGTTCGTTGAAGTATCGTTTCTAGTGTAACACCTATTTCTCGCCGAACGCCAACTTCTTTCACTGACGATTGTTTGATTTTCGGGTGGTGATTCCACATCACGAGTAAGTTTACTGAATAAATTCTTATATTACATTAATTGTTTATTTATTCTTTCTCTCCTTTCCCCCCCTTTTCCCTCCTAATAATTGGAAACCCGGGCAACCAATTATACATGCACTGAAAAACTGTTGGTAGAGCAGTTCCGCTATTGACTGTTGTGCAGCGCTACTTAACTTTAAACTCACAGCTCTATCAAAATTAGGCGAGTTGCTCTCCTAAACTTGACTACCAATGGCGTTGGCGAGCGGCTGCTTGACAAAAAGGTCAGCAGCTCTATCAAAAAGGAGAGTTGCTCGCCCAAAAAGGAGAGTAACTCGCCCAAAAATAAAGTGAGCTGTGCGTTTCTTTAACGCAGCAGTTCACCGCATTGGGCGAACAGCTCTCCTAACAGTTTTTCAGTGTGATAATTATTTGTAAGCCATCGATTCTAACATTTGTATCTTGCAGGTAATCGACTCCAGGCATATGGCGGCTCAAAGAGGTAGACCAATGGATGAGCATCTTGTTGAAGTGCATAATCTTTAAAGTTATTTCTACTTAATAAAGGTTCAGATTCTTTTCCATAGTATGGAAAATTTGTTTTGAGTAAAATTTAATTTCCATAAGGATAGTACTGTGAGTTTAAGAAAAGTTTAACATTGAGAAGATTACAGGCATCAAATAAATTTGCATACCTTCCTTGATCTTCTTTTCGATTTGTTTGAAAACCAAGAATAACATATCAACGTTTTTCAACTTGTGTTGAAGTTTTTACAGTCCACACGTTCTTTTGAGTGACAGGAATCATAGGATACTCATACAAATTCCATGATCTAAAACTCATTGTTATAAGTGAGTCTTTTTCAATAAATTTCAACAATTCAATTTTTTGGCGATCATTTACCATTAAATATGGAATCAACCATTCAACTTTATTAATTATAATTTTAAATTCTTCACGCTCAGCTACACCAATGTTTACTACAGGATTTAGATCAGTACGAGATCTTGTTAAAATAAGTTCATGTTTTGCATTT